AAGAAAATCGAGCCGGGAAAAAAAACAGACCCAATTATTCTGTTCCTAAGCTTGGGCCTCCAAAGACACTCTAAGGCTCGGCGTCCAAACACTCTAGGATTGTGTTCCAGGGAGACTTGTGTTCCAGGGAGACTCTGGAGTTAACTACAAAGACTCTAGCCTCCGGGGATTTTTCTAATTAGACACTCCAGGGAGACTCTGGGGTTTGGGCATTCCAAGGAGACTCTGGGCGCTCCGGGGTCATTCTTGTTAGGCACTCCAGGGAGACTCTGGGGTTGGGTAGTCCAGGGAGATTACAGTAGGACTAGGACACTCTGGAGTAAGCTAGGCACTCCGGGGATACGTATCATGGATTCAACGAACGTCTTCCTTTGATTTTTTGCAAGGGACCTTGATGCAATCTCAAGCCATATAAGCCATTTCATACCATAATCAATATGTTACTACGCCGATGAGGGGTCTGAAAGTTAATGTGATTTTTCTTTGAAAACGCGAAGCCTTGCTTTGACGAATTCGCAGACATGAAGCTTGTGAGACGGCAACCCAAAGAAAGGGTTTGGCGCGTTCCCAGTCTGATTGGGTGCAGTTGCCTCAAGTCAGTGGGGTGTAAAGAGCGCCATCCTACCTACCTAGTGCATCACCGACTGACAGCTCCCGTCCTACCTGGAGCTCTCTGCGAGACACATAGAGTTCAATGCAAAACAAAAAACGATGTGGCAATTCATGGGTGTGCACGGGGATAGACTCCCAGATCCTGAAGGGATCGATGAAGAAGTCGGTGCCACAAATCTGATCATTAGACTTGGAAATGTACAGGGGATGCCGATCTGGAGCACCAGATTTGATGAACCAAGGAACATGCTAGTGTCTACCCCTACTCTTCTTTCTGTCAAACCAGATGCTGCCAATGGCATTTGGCAAGTCATACAGAAGTTACTGCGGGCGGGAGATTCCCTGCCTTGCCGGTCTCATGAGACGGTGCGGGTATCGCTTTCGTCTCCCTGGCAAAAGATTTGGCTTGGTCTGGCTCTTGATACGCAGCAGTGCCACTGCAATCGACGCCCTTTTTGCTTCCCTTGCGCTATACACCTGCTTCTGTACAACATGCGGATGGTGGTGTCGGTATCCATCAGCCGGCAGAGAGCACTTGGCTACAGAAGCCGAGCATGGCGTGGTTGAACGATGCGTTTCTATGGCCCACATGCACATCTCTGTGCCACGCCTTGCCATGTCGAAGCGCGATTGAGCACAGCGAGTCATACCAGCTTACTAGCTGCTCCACTCCCCGCCCGTGGGCTTGGTATTGCCGTCCTCTTGCCTCCCTCGCCTCCCTTGCTTCGAAATGAGCTTGCTCTCCTTGCTCCTTCTGATGAATGCCTCCGCGTGGACGCCGACAGCGTGCCACCGCGAAGCAAGACTTCGCTTCTGCTTTTTGTCCCTAGTGGGTCCCGAAGTCAACTTACATGGGCTCCAGCTCTCCACCCTTCTCCGTCCAAGCTTCAAGGCCTCCCTCAAGAAGAGTCCTCGGCAGCCATTTGTCATTCCCGTTTGTCATGGTGTGCTTCGCACTGTAGGGAGGTTGGGGAATCAATCGATTCTCAAACTTCTCAGAGCTGCATGGCGGTCGGCCAGATGCGGAAGTAGCCAGCAAGCAGCATTGCTGAATCCCAGGCTGACTTCAAGTCTTGCCGGCAGCCATACACGATCATGTTTCCACAGCGTGCCTAGTCGGCTCCCCAGCCCCAACCCTAAACCCTAAACCCTAAACCCTAAACCCTAAACCCTAAACCCTAAACCAAGATCGGCAACCCGGTGCAACCTCGAGATCTGACTCTATCCGAGAGGCCTTCTGCTGAGAATTTCGGGAGAGAAAACTCCGAGTCGTTTTCGTGCCAATAGATGGAAGCATCCCTTTAAAGCCTGCACCCCTTGGCTTCTTAGTACAATCGTGCTGCGTGCCAAGGCTGCCAAGGGGCATTTAGACCTTCGCAAAGAAGCAACCTCAACAACTGAGGTAGCGAGCCAACAGTCGTGAACTTCAAGAAACCTTCTACCGGCACAGTCCTAGCTTTCAGGTTCAACTGATGGGCAAGTCACAGCTCATCGTCAGGAAGCGACGCCAGACTCTCCGTTGCGCGCGGATGGGGCAGGACGATGGAGTCAGGGATCTGCAAGAGGCCTCGCGAAAAAGCTTCCCGAAAGACTCCGAGACCGAGAGGGCCTTATGGGCCTTCAGACTTAAGACAACGTACTGGTAAAGGCCGTGCCTGGGGTTCCTGCATCGCTGCGGACATTCACAAAAGTGTGCTCACCCTGGCTGTGCAGTCCTTAGCTCAACAATCTTGTTAAACCTTGTCAACACCCGGCTCTGCAACATGTCGTTTTGAATGAAGCACTCCTTTATGCGGCACCTGGGCCTGAAATCAAAAAGCTACTCTTTCCAAGGGCGGGCCACGGATCGCCTCGTCTGCGGACACGAACTGCGGCTCGCCCCGCGCACTGAGTGGCGCCTTGTGCGAAACGCTGGCGCCACGTGCATCGCGCGCATCTTTGCCGGTGCTGTCGCGAACTTCTTGCAGTACCATTTGAGCCTGTGTTCTCAAGTTGTTCTGTGAGAAGTATTGCCGCAATAGCCTACAAATTCAAGACTAACTTTGGGTCAGGGCGGTGAATGCTCCATGAGTGCAGTGGCATGATGTCCACGCACAGCTTGCCTCGTACTCCCTGTGCGGCAAAGGGCCAAACAGCCAGATAGGCATGCGACCCGCAATCCATCCGGACTTGCTCGCGGCAGTCGGGCTGTAGAAGTTGCAGCACACCGACGGGACAATGGAGGTAACGTGCGCTTGGCGCTTGTACCTGCGGTAGTATTCGGACCAAGAGCTGCGATATCTCTCTGGCCAGCCGTGCCCTGAATCCCAGACTTTACATGGCTTGGCTTCGAGGACAGGGAACGTGCCCAGGGCGACAATGGAGCCACCGAAGGCACGTTCTTGTGGAGTGGCCAGCGCTGCCTGGACGTATCGTGTGCCACTGATGTCTATATCATACCCAAAGTGGGTGTGGCCGAAGACATGGACAGTCGGCTTCAGCATTGCAACCCGCTCTTGGAGGTAAGAAGAGCCCACAGCTTTGGTCAGGCAGGCGGGTATCAAGTAGCGCTTTTCTGGAACCAGCCTCATTGGTACATACATGTACATGCTCAATCCATGATGCACTGCGCCGCCATTGACAAAATGTCCACTCAGGCCCAGGCTCCAGTTGGGGCACAAAGTGTGAGAATGAGATGACGGCGTCAAACTCGTCTTTCCGCGACACAGCTTCTGCAAAGCCTCCACACAGGCAACACACGCAGAGCCAGTTTCGTGCATCATGCAAGTACCATTTCTGACGCATCACCTCCTCGTTTGTCGTTCAATTCATCCAGCGCTCGAGCCACGGAACCATCCTCCATATGCAGGGGCTGTGGCCATCTTGTTGCCCAATAGTCCTGCAGCTGACGCATCACGGCACCACAGGTATTGGGTCTGCAATTGCCGCAGTTCCGAAACCATCAAAGCCAAGAGTCTGCAACTGTCTTCTCTGCTGTCGGCACGTTGGACCATTCCTCCAGCTCAGGCTCCGTGTCCCACTGTGGATGGTGCCAAGAAATCAGAGGTACGATCAGCAATCGTTTCTGACCTGTTTCGAGAACATCGAGAAAGTCAACTGCAAGGCACATCGTGCTATGAAGGTGTGGAAAACTTGTGTCTATGATTCGCCCACCTGTGTCGATCACCCCAGCCGTGGTTTCCTTGCAGTGCGCCGACTCAGAAGCAATGCCTCAAGACCCTGGAAGCCTCAAGACACCTGCACCGGCTCTGCCTACAGAAAAAAGGCATCCAATCAGCCAAACCACGATGTCATGCAACTTACAGAAGTCCAAAATGGCATGTAGCTTGTCCATGGAGTCACCACCTTTCCAGCCCTGCATCCACAGATCATGATTGCCTCAATTTGTAACCCTGCATCAAGAAGCCCAGGGTCCCAACATTTTTGGGAAATCTAAGCGCTCAGCTCCTTGCCGCCCAGACTCCGGGGCAGAAAAAAACTCGCCCAAATCTCTCTCTGAGAAGAAGAATGGACTCCTTCAACACCTCGAAGGTGTTGGCAACGTCTCCCGCCAAGATCAAGACATCATTCCGAAACCTTGGGTTCTTTCAAAGGTGCTGGAGGGCATGTGCCAATGCAACTTATCCAGAGTGTATGATTGACAGAAACCAGACGAATCAGATACAGTAATACAAGACATATCTTGCCTGGCCACTCTGCCGGTGCCAAGTCTTGGATCCACTTCATGTTCTCTGCTTTGTCCGTGTGTATGTCAGAAATGGCCCAGATTCGAACCTTCGCATGTATGGGGGGCTCTGGAAGCGTTTCCTACAGGGATCCTGCTTGATATCCCTCTCTTATACTACCTTCTTTTGCCCTCGGTTTGTTGCTCGATTGTATCTTCTTCCGTTCTGCTTTGGCCCGCGTCCCTGGAGTGCCCACTCTCAATGAATCCTGCAGAGCGTCCCACCTTTGAGCATCTTTGCACATCCCACAGAGTCGACAGAGTGTCGGAACTCAGATGCTCCCTACACATCCCTATCTGGTTTGGGGCGAAGATGTTCGAGGCAACCGGTTTTCATATTGAGGGCCCCGACCTCTCTCGGCTGCTGCTGTAGTGGACCAGCATCTCCACGAGCCCGAGCCACAAGCGTCTTGTCTTTCCTAAGTTCTCTTGGACAGCATGCATTTTAGGCCTGCAAGACTACGGCAGCCATCTAAAGAACTCACAAACCCATCTTGTCACGATGCAGCTTCGTGCTGATCCAGCCCTGCTGTGGACCGTGGCCTCAGTGCAGCTCGATTCGCTGCGATTCTTGTCTGGAGCCGTTTGGGGCGAGGATGATGACGATGATGATGATGATGATGGTGCTGGTGGTATGGTGGTTGGTACTTAAACCTATTTCCTTGGACCAGCCTTTTGCAAAGTCTGGATCTGGGTGCACGGCCTGTCAGCTTTTCGTAACGGAGTCGCTCTCCAACGAGCTCCATCTCACACACAAGCGCGCCACATGAAAGGCGATCCTCAGTGTGAGGCTGATTCGTTATACACTGCACACGCCTGGAGCTCTCGATGCTACCAACCAGTTCCTGAGGTCAACTCGGCTAGTTGCTCCGAATGAAGGCTGCGCCCGCTTCTCACAAGAATACCGCCAGTGTCGGTTCCACCCAACACTTGCCACCACTCACCTCGCATCCCTCTAATCCTCTTTTAGGACTGGGACTCCACACGAGTCAAAGTCCAGCAGCCTTGAGCCACTCCGAGATCGTATCGACAATGGGGTTGAAGCACATTCAATGGCCACAAACGCACGCAACAAGCCGCAGCCCCCAAGCCCCCAAGCCCTGGAACTTAGTCGACTCTGCTGCTGGTATCTTCGACTCTTGACCCCCGGCAAAGAGAGCTGCCTGAGACCTGGTTAGTGTACAGGTGGAGGGGCTTGAGCAGCTATGCCTCAGCGCACCCAGGCCGACAGTTTAGGCTTTACAGTTTTTTGACGCTTGCATTCAGAAAAAGGACAGTCAATTCCAGGCTAGCACCTAACACAAGCCGGCCTTAAATGAACCCTACACTGGGGTTTGGAGCAGAGTGTCGAGCCATCTAAACACACCCAAGATGCTCCACAGAGAACGGCGCTTTCGTACGTGGGCACCATGTACTTGATGTTGATGAAGGCGTCTTCGCCTCTCGTTTCAGATCTGTAGGGGATATGATTAGGGGGACCCTTGGGAAGAGAGCCAGAAGAGGGTTCAGAAGGGGTTCCCTTTTAAGGGTCCCCCTTATCCTACCTAGGAATCTGGGAAAGAGCTCGTTCTCTCTCATCAGCATGTGTCCTCCATGTTCCTCCAAGATCTGCAGGGTCTCCTTGCCAACAGCGGGGTCGTTAGTCTTAAGTGGCTTCTGTAGAACTCCCTCCATTAGCTGAAGGTCGCAAGCTTGTCGGAACCTCCTGTTGAAAACGAAAACCGTCAAGCCACTCTTGCTGCAAGCCAAGGCTCTGAAATCAGATCTCCCAAGTTCTGGTTCTTGCGCTGGCCATAGTCCATGTAGTCACCCATGTCCTTGCGGAGATGACCATATGGGAAAGATGTCAAGTTATCTCTTGCCTGTCCTCTGTTGCAGGTCTTGCTTGCACAAGACACCTATCCGATGAAGCCGAGTTCAACCTCCCTCTTCCCGCTCCTTCGTAGGAATATTCCTGCCTTTGAAGAGGCAGAAGACTGGCCTCAGATTTGTGCGTTTTGCCGCGTGGCTGGAAGCAAGCGGTGAGGCACAGTGTTTTGGCTTCCAGAGATGTGGACACATCTGACCCTGAATGCCTGTGACCTGGTCATCCTGTAGAATATGGCACGAGCAGCATGATGGTCCACTACTGGTGTCTTAAACTTCCAAGAGGCAGCAGCTGCCGGTAGTATGGCACCAAGGCCTACAAACAGTGCAGGTCTGCGGAACACCGCTACTGAACCTGTTGGCGAAGCATGAATCCCCACACGCTGATCAAACCAATGGCGAGAAGTTACAATTTCCATAGTTTCCATGAAAGATCTCTTCAAGGGCTGGTGCGCCTCTCCGATCATCTCCTTATCTCTCGATCTTTCGAGGCTTACTTCTGCCGCAGCGGTTCTACAAGCGTCTGGTCTTCAACCAAGCATCGCCACTCAGAACGAGCTTCTGCATCAGCTTCATGGTGGTACACATGATTTGAGGATCACCTTCCAGGAGCCAGGTTGGCTGAGTTTGGGGCGGCTCTTCCACCTTTGGGACTCACAAGGGCCCCTGCGCGTGTTCAGCGCACTCTTCAGAGGGATGACGAGCTGGGGTACCACCTCATGACACACAGACGCGTTCTGGAAGTTGCACGGTTTCATGACCGCCTATGCCGATGCCCAACAAAGTAGTTCTAGATTCTAGACTGCGCCTCAGAGGCACGCCTCAGAAATGACATCTAATCTAAGGCGTGGAGGACCCGGAGGTGTAGACTGACAATGACTGACATGCCTCTTCTGGAATCTGAGGCTGCCCACTGGAAGGATGCGATCCCCACCCTGGCAGCAAAAGCTGGAGCAGGAACCCATGATCCTTCAGCACTGAGCTTAGCTTAGCTTCTTCGTCACTTTTTGGATGTTGGGAACCTCCCGGACAGCAGCGTAGCCTAGCTTAGCTTCTTCGTCACTTTTGGGATTTTGGGAACCGCCCGGACAGCAGCTTAGCTGAGCTGAGCTGAGCTGAGCTTAGCTTAGCTTAGCTTAGCTTAGCTTCTTCGTCACTTTTTGGATTTTGGGAACCTCCCGGACAGCAGCTTAGCTTAGCTTAGCTTAGCTTCTTCGTCACTTTTTGGATTTGGGGAACCTCCCGGACAGCACTTTGAGTTCTGAAAAGAGCTTAGGAGCGCCGAAGCCCAAGGGCCTTCGTGCCTTTGAACAGCCGCAAGAAGCCCACGCAAGTTCCGAAATCCCAAAGCGCCAGCCGCAGCAGCCCTCAGGTCCATGGAAGATCCGGGGGTTTAGGGTTTAGGGTTTAGGGTTTAGAGTTTAGGGTTTAGGGGCCTTCTCCAGCATGTCATAGGCTCCGGTCACAGCCATGAACCTCAAGCAGGGCAAGTGGTGGCGAACTGTCCCACCTCAAGTGCCAGTGCACCAAACCACGCGCCTGAATGGATCCTCTTTCTCACGCAGGCCATCGAAGAAAATCGGTAGGTAGTGGTGGTAGTCGAGTTTTTCAACCTCGCGATCGAAGCTTGTATGATTTGGTCATTTTGCAGAAAGCCTGAAGCAACTGTGGCATGTCTGGGTGTGGGACGTCCACCTTCCACAGCAGTCGGCCTTTCCATGGGTTACTTTTGACCCGAATGCCAAGCCTGGGGGGTGCTCCTGCCTATGGAGCCATGGTAGATCTGAACTGGCAGATCGCCTCTCCTGTCCCAAGGCCCCAGAACAGTCAGCCTACTTGGGGCGGTCATGGCATTGGGGTGAGAGACTCATGAGCTGCCCGGTTTAGGGTTTACGGTTTTAGGGTTTAGGTTTTCGCATCTCAGAGCCCGGCTCGTAGAAGATGCGCAGCCTTATTTGACATGAACGCGCAGGCAACACCAGTCCAACGCACTGCTGGGGGCTGTGTTGCATCAACTGCATGCTGTAGGACTGCAGGACACTCAAGCAATCCCAACTTTGGCTGCGAGCATGGATGGCTTGATGGGCTTCCGCCTCGCTTGGCGAGAGCACCGAATGAGGAAGCGAATGCAAGCAGTTATGATTACTTACTATTAAATATTCTTATTATTCATCCCACCCCCCAAAATCCAGGGCATGAGTCCTGGTAGCGCCAGCTCGTGGGGGCCCGGGGTCCACTGGCCGCCTCGGGCATGGTCGAAAGTGTCACTGCTCTTGTGCTGCGCAAGGGACGGAGGTGTTTTTGTATACTCTTCGTTTTCAGACTTTTGCAGCTGGCCTCACTCACACTGATGCGCGGAGCTTAGCTGAATCTGGCTGGGAGACGCTGGCAGCCACTCGGGCTCTGGTGACAGACACATGGCATGCGCTCTGCAACCGCGTTTGAAGCGCTCGGCCAAAGACAAAGTGGCAACAAAGAGCGGCACCTGAAACATATGAGAAATGATGCTTCCGGAAGCACATGGCGCCCTGAAGAGCGGATGCAAGTGCCGCGTTGCGCAAAGTGCGGGTGGTAGCTCATGAGTCCAAGTTTACATTACAGCATTGTTAGACACCCGGAAACGCTAGCAACCTTCGAGCCACACCGGACTCGCTCAGCAGGAGCCGGCAAAGGGGTCTTCGGGTCCATCTCGCCGTGCCAGTCTGCAGAAGGCCGAGGTGGCCGGAGACATATTGATATTGATGCTGGTCCTCCTTTGCAGGCTTGCCATCCCTTTGGGCAGTGTCAGACCACCTCGAAGAAGCTGAAGAGCTGCCAGGACCCGGAAAAGAAGTCGCAGGCCACGGCGTGCAGCATCCCCCCTCCTCCGGCCCTCGAACCGGAGCTCCTTCCAGCGAGTCCCCAGAGGTTGGTCACACGCCAGGCCGAAGACCCAGCTGTTGTTTCCAGGGTGCCAGCCCGGGCTTCAAGTTTCCAGGCCTCCAGGCAAGGGGAAGTCGTTCAATGTGCGTGAACCGCTTTCACATGAGAAAGAACCCTCTCCCTAGTCCAGAAGAGCCCAAAACTTTCGCAGAAACATTCACCCGAGATGGACTGAAGTAAACATGTGTCAATTCGGCATATAGTCATGGCTTCATGCAGCCGGCTTTTTGCCTGGCATAGATCTTCCTCCGCGTGTCGCCTCTTAGCGACGAGATGCACGAGAAGTGACAATGGCTCCATTGAATCCATCGGCTCAATACCAATGGACCAAGCAAACTCTGTTTACAGAAGACATGAACAGCCTAGGCCTACGGTTGCGAAAGTTTAGGGCCTGCTTTGGGGGGCCTTGGCCAAGAGGGGCCTAGCAAGACGTACGGAGTTCACGCCTCTATGCCCTACAGCGCCGCAGGTCTTCTGCGCAGCCTTTGCAGGTTGGACCCCCTCTGCAGAGAAGGAGTGGGAGCGGTGTAGTTGTGCAGTTCGGAAACTCTGAAGGGGGAGGAAGCTATGCAAGACTGAGTTTTGCAAAAAAACACCACCAGCACGCCCATGGAAACCCCTCCAAACTCCCGTAAATGATGCCACTTTGGGGAGCCCAAGCCCTCATAGAACAATAAAACCCTCATCCATACAAGCCCGCTAGGAGCGATGCAGCCCGCCACGAACCTCAACCGCACGAGCTTGAACCCCTCTCGAAGCCCGACAAGACGTCTCCTGAGCAAAGCGTATCAAGCCGAAAGCCCCCCCCCAAACCTCACAGGCCTTCATAGGGCCTCTGCAGGGCCTCTAGGGGAGTCCAACCTTGAACTTCTTCCACGTCGCAGCCCGATTTCGGCTCGCGACGTTGGGTCGTTAGCAGCTGTACAGCTTTTGGGGGGAGGGGGAGAGGAGAGGGAGAAGAGAGGAGCTTTCTAAGGCTTTCTTATAGACATTCCTCAACGACCAGCAGTCAAACCCGCAGGATGCCCCTCCCCGTGGCATCAGCGGGTGAGGCGCGGCGGCTTCATGCCGCGCGCGCTGCTGCTGGGGGACTTCACCTGCTGGAAGCTCGGGCGCTGGGAGGTCCCAGAGGCTGCAGACATGGCCGGGCTGTTGTCCACCGACTTATTGTCCACGGCCGGCGCCAGCTTGCCACCGGCCGACCATTCGGTTGCGTTGTCTTTCATCAGCGTCCGCACGACGGCAAGGCCCATGTGCTGCAGCGTCACGATGTCAGCTCCATAAAGCAGGCTGGGCGCCGCATCTAAGGCGCCCGTTACCGGGCATGCGTCACCCTCATACTGAAAGCAAGAGCGACTGGCCTCCACGCTGGCGATGAAGAGGGATCGAATCGCTGAGTTGGAGATGCTTGGGTCGGACGACTGGATCAGGCTTTTGAAGTCCCCGTAATTCAGTCGGCAGATCCGCTCGTCGTGATTCTTGTCGTCGATCTTCTGAGTGCGATTTATCTTGCGAAGAGCTTCCACCCGGTCGTGCAACTCTGCGGCCACCGCCTCGACCGTAGCCCAAAGCAGCTGAGACTCGGTGACGTAACCCTTGATCAACTTGCTCTGCGAGCCGCCTCCCAGGAACTCCAAGACCAATCCTTCAGAGAGAGAGGCCTGGTTGCCAAGGGCAGCTGGAGGGCAAAGCTTCGACCTCCAAATGGCGTCATCGATGCCCAAGATCTGAGCATCTCTCAGCGCATCACGGAACTCATCACAGGTGACGGTGCCGCGATTCTCAACTTTTGCGATCAGCATGCGCAGCTTCGGCGCGGCCTCTCGGCGGAGCCGATCGTGGAGAATCAGGAGTAAGAAGAAGAAATCATTCATGTCCGCCTGCGGGTGCCGCACATCTTCGGGGAAAGTTGCAAACTTCATCAAGGACATGAAGAGCTCTCTTCTCGAAATGACCGTGCCGCCGAAAGGCAAGGCCTTCGTGGCGGAATCCCAAGCGTTCGGGATGGATAGGTGCACTTCCGACTCCTCACCTCTGGCCGCGCTATGTCCAATACGACCGCCACGGGGACTGGGCGCCATGTTTGCTAGCTTGTTGATGGTCATGGATGAGGTATCAGTCTTCTGCCGGCCACCCGAAGCATTCGCAAGGCGCTTTGCCCGAAGTGCGACATCGAGCACCGGAAGGGGAAGTGCCTGATTGCAAGTGCAATATTGTAGAAATCGTGCGAAGAGCTGTACCTTCAGAGATGGAGGCGCTAAGTGGGCCGTCCGCTCCAGGCTCCGGATGCAAGCCATGATGCCACACAGCTTCTCCTGTGCAGCTGTGACGGTGCCTAACTGCTCCAAGTAGTGCTCCACAATGAAGGCCGGCAGCTCGGAGCGAGGGAGGTGCGCTGCATCGGCCTCTGCGTCCGCAGACGCCTTGGCGGTGTAGAGCCTGTCGATTTCGGACTCAAGCTCCTTCACCGTCATCTTCCTCACTTCCCGACCTTGGAAGTTCGCCAAGATGCTCCGCAGTCCGGGTGGCCGGTACTTCACCGGCAGCTCAGGATCCACCTTCAGCAAGTCGGTCTCGATAACTTGAGTCGACTGCTCGGCCACGGAATAGGGCCGAAGCTGAAGCTCACCATTTGGCAGCTCGATGACTCGGCCGGGCCGGTGGAGTTGAATCTTCGAGGGGTCCAGGTCATCGGTTTCTTGGACAATGTGCGCGGTGTACTCACCCATGTCTTGCAGGATCTTTGTCTGCACAGCTGACTCCTCCTCCAGGTCCAGGAGCAGGTTGGCACATTTATCCATGATGTGGGCAACGCCTTCCAAGGAGCCGTCATCGGGGTGAAGCCGACCGAGCTCATCCTTCAGCTTGTCGACCTTCTCTTGGTACGTGCGAATCTCCGCCTGCTTTATCTCGTCCGCCATGTTCAGCTGCTTCTTCAGCTCCCTGTTTTGCTGCTGCAGGGTTGCCAGCTCAGTCCTCAGCTGGTCGATCTCCGAACGCGCTTCCGCCAAGGAGCCCAATCTGGCCTTGCGCTTCGCCAGCTCCAGGTGTGCCACGTGAAGCTCGGCATCGAAAGCCATCACGGCGCCCTTGACCACGCCCTCAAGCAGCCTTGCAGCTGTTGGCAGTCCGGGGCTGATCAAGCGAATGACGTGTCGAAGGTCCCGGAGGTAATCCTCCATTCTGCAGTTGGGAGGCACGCTTCGTGTGGGTGCCTCCAGCGCGTCCTCCTCACCTGCCTGTGAGGCCTCGATTTCCTGCACCTCTTCCGAACAGACCTGGCTGTGCTGATCAAGCTTTGTGCTGAACATGGCCTCGAGATGTGCGCAGCTATCATTCACGGAACGCAACCACTCGGAGGCTTGCAGCTTCGGCTTTGAAGTATTCGGAGAGCACCCGCCCTGTGTCTCGGAGCTATCAGCTGAGCAACTCGCATGCAGTCGCTGGAGGAGCAAGGTCTCAGGCACACGCTCTTGCAGGCAAATGCTCACTACTTGACAATTGTCGCCCATCATTCGTGGCGGCGGTGCCTTCCGCTCACCATCGCTCCAACGGGAAGCTGCCCCTATGCTGGTCTCCGGGGACCTGCGCCCATCCAGAAGGGCTGGCACAGGTGTTGCAGGTGTGGTGGGTCTAGTAGAACCCCTTGGTGTTGCAGAGGAAGAGTGCAGCTCCGGCAGAAGGGCATTCTTGGGCCGCAGTGCAAAAGCCCACGGCGCCCGTAGTAGGACGGAATGCGCCTTCCCATATTGAGTGCGAACTGTGCCCTGCATCTCCAAGGATATGGCCACCTCTTCGCCCATGCGGACGCCGGCCTGAAGCAACTCGGAGTCGCGGACGGTGTCAGCAAAGTCCCAGTCGTACTGATCCACTTGCCGGGTCTCCTTGAAGGTTAGGTCCAGCTCGTCGTGCAGGCGCTCCCCCAAGGCCCCCAACCCTGACAGGACCTTGCTGTGTAGGGCAAAGTCCCCGCCCTCCTTTCCAGACTGATGCAGTAGGCGTTGTTCATCCCTGTTGGGTTCGCTGTCCTCAGCCCTGTGGCACTTGTAGCTGCTCCAGCTTCGCATTAGGTCAGCAACGGTCCTGACAGTGTTGCTGTGACGCCTATTCTGCCGCGCCCGTGGCCGGCCGGCCCGCAGCGTGTCGTTGCCTCCACTTTTGGGGCCTCCAGCGGAGCCCTGGACGTGAGCAGACTTGTGCCGCTTTGGCTGCCATGCGAATCCCCCATGGCGCTGGATAGCCTCATTCAGCAACTTGTGGCCTCTGAAGCCCTCCTCACTCCCTTCCATGGTGGCAGCCGCCATGGTGGGAGATTGGGTTGACGCCTTGATTCAGGTTTGCTGCAAAGAAATACCTAGCAACTAACGAAAATCGCTGCGCTCTTGACCGTGAAGGGTGTCGGTGTGCTCATGTTCATGTTTCACCTCCCTTGAGCCGAAGCCGCGCTTTAAGCTGTTTTCCTGGACTGAACGGCTCTTTGGAGTTGTTGGTCACAATTCGACTGCTGCACTGCTCTTGCAGCGGCCTCGATCATGCGTCTCCTGTTGTGGCCCAGGGCAAGCGTCAGAATGCCATCAGAGCGACCAGCCATTGCAAAGCAAGCACACGGAGGGCAGAAGCAGCAGAACAAGTAGTAGAGAGCCAACTGCCGAACCGACAGGGGTGGAACATGGAGTGCTCCGGTGAACTTCCGCTGAGCACGACGCGCCATGGCCATGCACGTCCATGCACGTCCATGCACGCTAGGTGGCATTCTGTGGCTCCGCTATGCCTACTATGCTCTGCTGGGGGGCTGGCAGTGTGGTGGCAGAGTGTGGCCTCCGCATGCCCTGGTTGCCAGTAAGCCTCCAACAGCAGATGCGCCACGACCATGTCGTGCAGAAACAGATGCTGAGCGCCAGGCTGCTGAAGCTTCGCCCGAGTTCCAGTCACTCCCTAGGTCAGGGCATGGCATGGCGTGGCCACATTTCAAGTCTCCGCGTTGTCCGACTCTCTGCAACCCGACGTTGCATCCAGGCATGTTTTGCCATGGTATGCTGCACGATTCTTGCTAACACCCTCAAGCTGCGGAACCTGTCCCGGATCATGCGATCCGGGGGGCCCCCTGAGCTATCGGCCAGGGCTCCGGCCGACTTGGGCCGAGCCTAGGGCACATTGCAGTTTATTGTAAACAAACTCAACCCTAAACCCTAAACCCTAAACCCTAAACCCTAAACCCTAAACCCTAAACCCTAAACCCTAAACCCTAAACCCTAAACCCTAAACCCTAAACCCTAAACCCTAAACCCTAAACCCTAAACCCAAACCCCAAACCCTAAACCCTAATGAAACCATGTCCAAGGCTTCAGAAGGGGGTCCTGCTTAAGGGCTTTCGACTTTTTTGGGGTTGCAACAAGCCCAAGAGCTAAGCAGGATTTCACATTGTTGCTGTAGCTTCAGAATGTGCACCAGCGGACTGAACCCTACCACACTGTTCAACCCTTTTAGAGCACTACGGTGACATACTGTGACACTCGAAACATCTGTTCTGCCTGAAATCTGGTTGCGCCCCGAACGGCCCTAGACCCCCAAAACACATGGCCCCAGGGGACTGTCCAAGCTTCCCGCTGTCACCTCCGCTCTTTGCAGTGGCGCCTGCACTTGAGCTGAAAGGTGCCGTTTCCAACAGGAAAGCTGGAGAGCAGGCCCATATGGACTGTAGGAACCTTAACAGTGAATTGCGGATCCATACCTGCAGGTCACCTTGAACTGCACGTCCACCCGAACATGCCCCACGAAAGCACTGTCCACTAAAAGTGGTGGGCCTGCGACTACTAGGACTACGACTTTCACTACCACTGGAAGTATTGCAATACTGTAGTACAAGTGGTGGCAGTACTTGTAGAAGTACTAATCGTCGTCGCTGCAGCAGTAGTAGTAGTAGTAGTAGTAGTAGTAGTAGTAGTAGTAGTAGTAGTAGTAGTAGTAGTAGTAGTAGTAGTAGTAGTAGTGTAGTAGTAGTAGTAGTAGTAGTAGTAGTAGTAGTAGTAGTAGTAGTAGTAGTAGTAGTAGTAGTAGTAGTAGTAGTAGTAGTAGTAGTAGTAGTAGTAGTAGTAGTAAGCTGGGTGGATCATAAGAAAAAAGGGTTAATCGCAATCTGTTATCGGCCTAATCCGCGTTGGTGGGTCAATGTGTCCTAATCCGTAATCCGTTGCCTGGAACCAGTCCTAATCCGCTATCCGTTTCTCTATCTCAGGGCATGTGGTTAGTAGCCATTTTGCTTGCTGCTGTGCTGGGAAGGCCCTAAAATCACTACTAGCAGAGGGGGGGCGGGGGCGGGTTGCGGGCGGGCGAAAAGGAACCTTTTTTCGGCTTCAGCAGAGCCAAAGACTCCAAAAAAGGTACCTTTTCGTTGCGGGCGAGCGACAGGTACCTTTTTTCGGCTTCAGCAGAGCCAAAGACTCCAAAAAAGGTGCCTTTCCCTGCGGGCGAGCGAAAGATACCTTTTTTCGGCTTCAGCAGAGCCCAAAGACTCCAAAAAAGGTGCCTTTCGCTGCGGGCGAACGAAAAGGTGCCTTTTTTCGGCTTCAGCAGAGCCAAAGACTCCAAAAAAGGTACCTTTTCGCTGCGCGAGCGAAAAGGTACCTTTTTTCGGCTTCAGCAGAGCCAAAGACTCGAAAAAAGGTGCCTTTTCGTTGCGGGCGAGCGAAAAGTACCTTTTTTCGGCTTCAGCAGAGCCCAAAGACTCCAAAAAAGGTGCCTTTCGCTGCGGGCGAACGAAAAGGTGCCTTTTTTCGGCTTCAGCAGAGCCAAAGACTCCAAAAAAGGTACCTTTTCGCTGCGCGAGCGAAAAGGTACCTTTTTTCGGCTTCAGCAGAGCCAAAGACTCGAAAAAAGGTACCTTTTCGTTGCGGGCGAGCGAAAGGTACCTTTTTTCGGCTTCAGCAGAGCCAAAGAATGCCTTTTCGTTGCGGGCGAGCCAAAAAGGTACCTTTTTTCGGGTTCACTTTTCGTTGCGGGCGGGCGAAAATGTACCTTTTTTCGGCTTCACAAAGCTTGTCACAAAGACTCCAAAAACGGTACCTTTTCGTTGCGGGCGAGCGAAAGGTACCTTTTTTCGGCTTCAGCAGAGCCAAAGACTCCAAAAAAGGTACCGTTTCGCTGCGGGCGAGCGAAAAGGTACCTTTTTTCGGCTTCGGCAGAGCCAAAGACTCCAAAAAAGGTACCTTTTCGCTGGCCTTTTCGCTGCGGGCTAGGTAAAAGGCACCTTTTTTCGGCTTCGACCTGGAACCCTCCCCTTGACCCTCCCAATCAAGATTCCAAAAAGCTCCTTTGGGGATTCGAGCTCAGGGCTGATGGGTCAGAGCCCAACCGCTATGCCACTGGATCAAAGTTTCCTTTTAAAGTGCACCTCCTAATCATTGGGCATTGCTTGTGAACAGGTCAGTTCAGTTCAGGGCAGTGGGTTAAGCCTTTACAAGTCAACCGCGGTTTGGAGTTTGGGGGTTAGAGTTTAGGGTTAACCCCTCCCACCCAAAGGTGCCTCGTCGCCAAAAAAAACGATGAAGACGACGAAGTGCACGCCGGTGAGCAGCGGAGGGTTTAGGGTTCGGGGTTGTCAGGCTTATTTCCCGTTATTTTTCCGTCGTTGCGTCGCTAATTTTCTTAATTTCATTGTTTTCCGTCGTTTCCGTCGCACTAATTTTTGCGGCCTTGCCAGCACAGAAGCAACCAAGCACAGACCGCAAACACTGCTAACTGGTAGTAGCCGACTAATGAAGCGTCTAATCGCAAACCGTTGTAATCCGTAATGTTCTCATCCGCCAACCGCCTAATCCGCAAACCCCCTAAGGATTGAAGATTACTTAGGATCCACCCAGGTAAGTAGCAGTAGCAGCAGCAGTAGCAGCAGCAGCAGCAGTAGCAGTAGCAAAAGCAGCAAAAGTAGTAGCAGCAGCAAGAGTAGTAGAAGAAGTAAAAATCGTCGTAGTGGCACTTGCAGTCGTAGTCTCCCTCGCCTGTGTCATCTCGAAGCTTGGCGGTGGTCGCACCTTGGGCTGCACGTCGACTCGCGATTCGCAGCCCTAAACCCTAAACCCTAAACCCTAAACCCTAAACCCTAAACCCTAAACCCTAAACCCTAAACCCCTAAGCAAAGGCCCAACCCCGGTACAAAGCCAAGCGGATCGCAATTCACACATTCCAGGTACGCACGTGCCGCCAAGGTCTCTGAAGTCTCTGCAGTGCCTAGCAGCTGTTATAAGCTGTGTACACAACGCTTTGTTCTCAACATTGCGCGGTCTTCGCGGGACGAGATGCGGAGGTTGACGAACCTACGGGCATGACATAATCGCAACAGCATCCGGGTTAGTTTTGTTGCCACCTGCCCTGAGAACCCGAGGAATTTGTAGGCTTCGCGAGAAAAAGCTCGGCCCCCACACACGTGGAGCACTCTGGCATCTCCTCAGGGGCCTGGCCACGAAGGGTTTTCCAAGGGAGTTTTTCAGGTGTTGAAATGCCGGAAGCAGTCGGGTAACTTATGACAGGGTTCCGGCTGGCTTTCGGAAACTCAGGCAAGCCCGGATGACAACCGGGGTTCTCAATTGCTAGGGAAGATTTCGTGGACAGCATGGCATTGCTGGTCCTCTCTGGAAGCAGGTCGGGAGGGAAGTCGCCGAAACACCTGGGCCAAAACCCTACGTCCTAGCGACTCCTAGTCCTAGAAATGGAGGGCATTCGACCCGCGGCTGCCATGGCTGCTATGGCATGCACGAGTGCGATCCGCGCGGGAGTAGTCCCCGCTCTTTGTCCCGACGCAGACTTCTGGAGCCTCAGATCATGCTTTGACGGAGGCATTGCCACGCTATTTCGAGAAGTGGCGTGCCCTATGAATCTGCTGTTTCTTGGTGAGAGTCACGGGCTACCACGCCAACAAGAGCCACATGAGCGTAAGGCGTAATGGCAACCCACGGCAGAGTGCGGCAATCAACATTCAAAGCCGACCAGCAGAGTCAACTGTGCGATAGACTTTGAAACGCTGGGCCTAGGAGAGTCACAAGACCGGCGAGGTCGCACTACCACGTGCGCTGGAGGGGGTCTGTCCATTCAAGTGACCATCCTTGTAGATCATCTTCTTGAGGGTGTCCTGAAAGTCGGGAGGATGTGGTTTAGGGGAAGCGAGCCCCAACTCCGAAACCACTCACCCCAACCCCGCTCCCCCTAACAAAAAGTTCTATCGCACATCCACGCGGTGGGGGAGGTCCTCCATCAAGAGGATGCCGGCAGGTGACATGGCCCCAGGCATGATGGCGGTCTTTGCCAGCCTGGATGGGGGTCGACGGGCTCTTTGACTGGGGATCCTACTATGGGTTGCCTCATGTACACAATACTTCTGCATGGCAACTGACCGACATCCCCAATTTATTGCCAACAAGTCATGAACACAGCATGTCATGTGTGTGTGACTTAGAAGTCTGAGCTATACTGTGGCACCATCTGCAACGGGGATGGAGGGAGTTGAGGTCCAAGCCCAAGCCTTCGAATCCCTTTGCACGTCCTTGCTTCGTCAGTGCCACGAGACCCGGATCCTTGAATTCCGAAGTTTCAGCCCTCGTGAGGTTGCGGCCGGCAGCGGCGTCAGTCAGTGTTTCGGCGGCGAAGATGACAGAGCAGAGCTCAAAGCGGTGTCAACTTGCGAAACTTAAGCTAGGGGCATGTAGGGGCGAATGATTCTTATATGCAATAAACTACGTGCGATGATGGACTCCAAGATGGACCATCACACCGACTGGCATTAAGCCGAAATGAGCTGACGCTGCACAAACGATGCCTTCATTTGAGCGGAGGCTTGGCGCACTTTGTACAGACAATCAGGCGCGCGACACCAGGCACATTGGAGCGCTCAAGGATGCAACTAAGCACAGTAGTGCTTGTACAATACCTACGATTGTTTGTATCTCAAACCTGGAAAGCATAACATTTTGGTGCTAGTGAGAACCAGCCTGTAAGACTCAGCGAAGCAGTTTTATCCGGAGCGGCAGACAGGTTTGGCATCTGGATGTGCTTCCTTGCGACCAGGATGGCACCAAGCTCCATCGCACCTGACGAAAGAAGCAAGAACCTAAGCTTGTTGCGTCATGGCGTCGAAATAATTCTCAACATCGCCCGCGGCTGGAGCTTAGATTCGGGCTACAGGTTACATGAGTAGCAAGGCTGCGTCATGATCTTCGCTAGTCAAATTGGATCGTGATTACCTGGCGAAGAAGCGGGATATCAGCAGTACTGCTCGAAGTTGTGATGAGACATGCGATGCTGAGCAGGATCTCAGTCTGCTGGGGGAGCCGAAGTGCTTGCATGCAATGATGGATTGGGACAGACGGGCCTGAAGCCGAAATGGGCCGACGCTGCACAAACGATGCACTGACCATTGAAGGCTCGCTGTACCATGTCAAGAGCTTCTCAAGCACGTGTCACCTCATTCCGCACAAGGCTCCACATGTCCAACTTTTGTCGGGCTGTCATCGCCAGAATCGCTGTGGGGGCAGAAACCCCGAACCCCGGTGGAAAGCAAGCTTTCGCTGGCATCAGCAGGACGCAAATCAGTCCATAGCGGACAATGAACTCGATGTAAACCCTGAACCCTCAGCCCTAAAAGGAATCTCGAAGTGCTACTCCGTCCCCGCTGAAGCTCGAATGAAAGCTCCGCTCATTTTTTAAGTCACGAGTCCCCATACATCTCCCCGGGGGGTCAAGTGCAATGCAAGACAAACCAACTGCCCCAACTTTGTCGAATGCAGCTGGCAGCTGAGTATGACTGTCCACAGCTAGAACTATCTGCAAACAAAGTGAGGACTACACGCATACATATATATATATGTATATATGTACAAATATATATATATATATATATGTGCTAACAACATACCTGTGTATTACTTTGATTTATGATTTATATTTTTGCAGATACGCTTTGTAGATCCATTTAGCGTGAAAGCGTAAGCTGTGCTAGTAAGAGTAAGCCAGTATGCCTCGGCGAAGCAATCCTTTACTCATTTCGCGCTTTGGGCATGCTTCCTTGCGACTGGGATGTGTGCCAAGCATCGTCGAGCTCCGTTGGCTCCATTTTGGTATTTTTTGCCACCCACCTAGCTGATGCAGAACATTTCGGGTTTAGGGTTTAGGGCTTAGGGTTTCGGGTTTCGGGTTGAGGGATTGCACCTGACCCCAAAAGAAAGTCCGACAACGCAAACACCTGCGCTGCCTGCCCTCAGAATGCCCGTCATGGTGTGGTGGGATGCCTGCGCAGCACAGTGCCACAAAGCATGGGCATGCGTCTCCCGTACGTTGTCTGGAAGTGTGTGAGATAAATACAAATACATGCAAATGACATGTACGTAAAAATAAACACACAAATAGATTTCAAAAACTAAAACAAAAAAGAAAAACTATATATGTATATATATATATGTATATGTACTTCCGTGTGTGTGTGTGAGTGTGTGTCACACCCTGTGTCCAAGGGCAACGCAGTTCATGCATGATTGCACAGGCGCAATTTGCGTTCATGCTTCTTTCTTTGCAGGGGGGATGCCCCACACTTGGGGAGTGGGCATCTAACAAAAAGGCTTTAGGGTTTAGGGTTTAGGGTTTAGGGTTTAGGGTTTAGGGTTTAGGGTTTAGGAATGTGTGCTGATATCCAGCTTGGCCAGTTGGACGTACCTGCTGCTATTTAGGACTGTGTCGTGATGTTTGAAATGCTGCGTATCATACTTGTTTGCAGTTGTCCAAAGCCCGAAGTCGTGTCTTGATGCAATCCTAAAATTTCTAAAAACATCCTGTAGTCAGTGAAGATCCCACAGATTTGAAGATCCAAGAGAAAGGAGATCGGAAGATTTTGGACCCGAAGTCGAGTCTGAGGTGTGTCTGTGCACATTGCACATCTATGCATATCTGCCGCCACCCCCCCCCCCCCAGAGCCCGCCCCAACCTCCCGCGACCTACCTCGACCCAAGATGCAAGACCAAGATGCAAGATCCACTTTCCACCCTTTTCTGGCCTATTCTGCTCCCCGCTTTTCACTTTCCAGGGCATAGGCCCAGAATCACGTGGAGCGTGGAAAAGTGAAACATCCGTTTTAAAGTGCAAGTACGTAGTACACATACAGTACAGGATAGCACTAATTTTGTATGGACATATGAAAACAGGGCATATCCGAAAGAAGCAGGAAATGCGCGACGTTATTTAGGAAACAAAGGCTTGGAAGGTTTTCGGGAAGGGGGGGGGGGGGGGGGGGGGGAGGGGCTAATATATAAAAAGACACGTATATACACATATATACGTGTATATATACATACATACACACATACATACATATATATATATATATATCATATCATATAGATATACGTGTCTGATATATATATATATATATATATCTGTATATATATATATGTGTGTGTATACATACACATATAGCTCAGGCTCTGGCTGAGGGTTACACGAGCAAACGAGCAACAAGGATCCACCAAAATCTTCTGGCTGCAAGAACAAGTCAAGCATGAGACTTTTTCGCTGGTCAGATATGATCGACTGCTCGGCTCGAGTGGTCTTGCGGCTTGCAAACAGTGTCGCCCACGACTTCACAGGACATGAACATGGAGTGACGGATGCCAGATTCAGAGAAAACATGCTGCTCGGCAAGCTGGCAACCCCGCTACAATGACTGAACAACTGACGGTTCAACGGCAGTCCAGGTACTCGCAGGCTGAGCTATGCCAAAGACATGGTCTTCAAAACGACGTGCCAGGCACGTGGACACTAAGACAGACTTTAAAGCTTTAGACTCAAGAGCTATCACGACTTGCGTGATGCAAGGTACGGAAGGGGGCCAGCTGCTTCTTCAAAAGCTGTGGTCAGTGGTCTTGATAGCTCAAAACTGCCCAACCCGTTGACAAAGTCGCGGGATATCGGCAGCATTGTTCGAAGTAACAATGAGAAGGGCACTTCAGCAACAAGTGCGCGCTGAAAGCATGTTCCATTGTATGGTTCCTTCGTGAACATCGCCAGGCTCCAAAAGATTGAACTAGAGTCTTAGAGTAACCCGGTCCTGATTGAGTGTACGAAAGAAGACGCAACATGTACGTTGTTCTGCACAACCCCATTCCTGTCCTATGCCCTAAGCCAGCAAGCGGCGCGACACGTGCGTCTACCCTGCACGGCCTCGCTGCTGCTGTACGACTGGGGTGGGGTCTCAGTGCTAGCACCAGGGGCGGACAAGTAATCACAACTCTGGCTTACCGGACGCTAATACCGACTAACATGTAGCCGCGAAGGCCGAAGTTTTCGATCGTCTGCCCCTAAGCCCTAAGCATCGCTGCAAAACCCTCGGCTCACAAAGAGACCTTGGAGGCAGCAGGTCCCGGCTGTTGTCCGGGCATGCGTGGCATTGGCGTACTTGGCTGCAACCCCGGGGCGCGTGGCAGATCAACAGCACTGGAGCTAGCTGCCTCAGCGTGGTCCTGCTCTTCCAGCAGGTCGTCGATATTGGGCACCACGGCGCGCAGCAAGCAGCGCATGTATGGACTCCGCTCAGCCAGCTTCTTGTACGCTTCCAGCTTTTGCTCCTCTGGCATGTTGGACTGGACCACCTGATTGACGCTTCTCTTGTACCCTGATCGGACTCCTTTGGAGGGCCGGTGGGTCTTTGCATTGGATGCCTCGTGGTCCCGGAAGTGGCAGAAGTTGCACGCTTGACCATTCCGGCAGCCATCTGCATGATCGATGAAGCGGCAAGGTTGACCTCTGCGGTGTTCTGCCGCTGTAGTGACAACAGTTTTGAAAACTTATGCTGGACTAGAACACACAAGGCTTTCCATGTTTACTTGTGGAATGACGATCTTGTCAGCCCTGACCACTGGCCACTAATTGCGCGGTTAGCGGTGATTATCCCGCGGAAAGGATTCTCAAGTCCTCGAAAACTTTATGCCCCGTGCCTCGTACCTTCCCGTTTTGACGAATCGAACACACTGCTGACTACTAGCAGTCTTCAAGCAATTCAGTATTGTAGTAGCTACGGAACGGCACGTGTGTTCCTTGAACTCGCTTCGTGACTGCATGGTGGTGCCGAGAGGCATTTGCCCTCAAAGTGTAGTCGCGAACCAACGGAAGGACAGTCCATCATTCCAGCCACCTGCGAAGCAGCTACTACTTGTGCAGCATGCATTGCTTAGGATATGGAGATGCTGTGGTTGTCCGAGGTTGGCGAATGTTGGACTGAACCTATCTTCCGGGCCTCTGCACGGATTGCAGCCTCGTCCGGGTCAATGGGGCCGCTCCAGTCACTTCTCCGATCGCTGGAGCGTGAGGTTTGGCTGGTGGAGCTTGCAACATGATTGAAGAGTTGATGTGAAGGTGCCAGCCCTTCTTCTAAGTTTGGCGGGATGAAGTGGCGAAGAAGACCTGGGCACTTCTCGCAAGCAGCTCTCGCGGCTAGCTCAAAGGCATACATGGGCTCTCACTCTCATTCTCTTCCTTTGTTTCTTCCTTCCTTTTCTTTCTTTCTTTCTTCCGTTCTGTTCTTTCTTTTTCCTCCCCACCCTCGGTGTGGGGTTGCTAGATTCTAAATTCAACTCTTCTCCTCGCCCGGTCTACTCCCCGCTCATCCCTGGAGTGCCCAAACCCAACGTGTCCCTGGAGTGCCCAACTCTCGAGTCTTCCGTGAAGAACCCGTGCTCCCTGGAGCCCCAGAGTCTGCCTGGAGTGCCCAATCTCAGAGCGCCGGAGTGCCCAGCCCCAGAGTGTCCCTGAAGTGCCCAACCCCGGAGTATCTCTGCCCAGAGAGGGTGGGGATGTTCGAAGCAACATAATTTGCTTCTTTCTTTCTTTCTCTCTTTCTGCTTGAGGGGCTTCAGTGGGGGGGCTTCAGTGGGTTACCCGCCCGGCGCAAGTTGCACGCCCCCGCTTTCTGAGTTCAAACTGCTGGCCTGTTGCAGGTGGGTTCAGCCTACCCTTTATCTGCCGTATTGCTCATCCACGGACATAAGGATTCTCTCCCACCACGCTTCAACTCCCGGCAAACATTCGGTACTACCTCTCTCCCCGAAGGGGAGGCACCACGAAGGGCTCTCTCGCCTTCCTTCCAGGATTCCACCGTAGCCTGAGAAACTCAAACGAGAAACCGATGCCACGAATTGGCAACTGAGGCTGGGGCTGGAAACGGAGGGGTCCGATGACTTTTCTGGGCTGCTGCCCGCAGAGGAGGGGGTCCAGCTGCGGCTGCGGCTTACTGCTTGGCCTTGGCCCAGGCGGCCATCACGCGAAGGTCGCTCGCTGATGTGAAGGAAGGTGTTCCTCGGATACAGAAGCTGCTGAAGGGGATCTAAGAGGGAACGGAGAAGCACCTCGGGGGGACTTTCTGTGTATCGCCAAACATTGGATTCAATGACCCTGGGAGGCCGCTCATCACGACTCCGAGCTTGAGCTTCACTCAGACGTTCTCATACATTTCTCATACATGTCTCATACATTTCTCATACATTCCAGCCGAGATTCTTACACTCGATCTCAAAGGTCGACACGTCACCTTCTGGTGCGGTGCTGACGGATCCAGTCATTGGCACTCCGGAGCGCATCTCGAATCACGGGCTGTGCCAGGACTGGGGAGGGTCTTTGTGTGTTTGCCTCTCTTGGTTTCTTGTAACGACCGCCCTGAAGGCAAGAGGAGGCATGCTGGCAGGTGCAAGTACGTGGAACTGCAAGCTGAGTTAAATGGAGGTAGTGAGCCTGGTGCCAGGTTTGCCCACGCCTACATCCTACAAGAGTGTCATCCTTGTTGGATGAGCACTTTGGGAAGGACGGCGCGGCGGCAGCGAAACTGCATAACCTGACATAATTACTCCTGACTTTCAAGAAGCTTAGTCCCAATTCTGCGATGCTCCTAAGACCTGAAGTCCGTGTTGTGCTGCCACAAGGAACATCCGCATACTCCTCACTCGCGTCCTGAGGCATCCTCGCTGTTTTCCCAGGGGTCCGTGGCGGGGCCGTCTTGTGCTCAGGCCATCTCACGCCGTCAGCGTGGAGGGGCAAAAGAAGGTGACCTGGCGATGTGGGACATTACGGGCTCCTAGGAGTTTGCAGTCGATCTCGCGCCCTAGTGCTTGACGGACTTTGGGGGTGCATGCGGCGTGAGCTTCAGCAGGCCATAGGTGTCAGGGGCCCTGCCCTGAAAGCAAAGCACAGCCCAGATGCTGTAGGGCTATGTAGAGCCATGTGGGGGCTGTTGCGTTGTGACCTTCATCGA